GTAAAACACAATAATGTGTTAGTAGCTTAAACTAGGTGAAAACAAAAACTAATAGATTATCACTATTATTAAAAGTGTAGCAACCGACCGCAAAGGTTGTTTTTTTCCAAAGCAGTAGGAAAAGAAAGAAACAAAAACGTTTTCAGCTTCTTAGAACATATTTTGGTTTGTGTACAATTTACCTGGGCAAAAATAGGTAATAAGATGCTAGCATCTATTGTAAAACATAATAAGGGTTTGGTAGTTTCACCTATGTATGGATAAAAACTAATGGACTATTACTGATATTAGAAGTGTAGAGGAAGCAGTATATAGCTTTACAAAACGCGTTTGTGTTTGGATAGAGTTTACAAGGGAAAATAAGGGTATAAAACGCTAAGTCTTGCACCTATCGTAAAATTTAATAATGTTTTTGTAGCTGTACCAAGGTATGAGAAAAATATAATAGATTATCACTATTATTAAAAGTGTAACGACCAACCGCAAATGTTTTTCAAAACAGTAGGAAGACAAAAAAAATAAAAAAGCTTACAGACTTTCAGAACACACTTGCGATTGAATACAGTTTCCCCTTGGAAAAATATCTTTTAAAATGCTTGCCCTTATGAAAAAACGCGATAAGTGTTGGTAGCTACAACTAGACATGGACAATAACTAATGGATTATCAATATAAAAGAAAAGTGTAACAACCGAACGGAATTTTTTTTTTCCAAACAGTAAGCAGATAAAGAATAAATTAATAATGATTTATATTCTAGCTTTTCACAACACACTTGGTTTTGGATATAATTTACAAGGGCAAAATTGGGTTTGGATACAGTTAACCTCAGCAAAAAGCTTATAAAATGCTTGCTCCAATGGTGAAACACGCTAGTATGTTAGTAGCTACAACTAGGCACGGACAAAATTAAATAGTTTATTACAATTAATGAAAGTGTAACGACCAACCGTAAAGATTTTTTGAAAAACTTGGACGACAAAAATACAGATTATACAGCTTTTCAGAGCACATTCGTGCTTGGATATACTTAAGCCTTGTAAACAAGCTCATACAATGTTTGCACGTATGGTAAAATACAATTATGTTTCGGTAGCTTCACCTAGATATGGATAAAAATAGACTATCACTCGTATTAAAATTGTAACGACCGACCGCGAAGGTGTTTCCAAAAAGTAGGAACAAAACGAAATAAAGACATTTATAGCTTACCGGAACCCTGATAGGTTTGGAAAGACTTTATCCTGGTAAAGAAGCTGATAAAATGCTTGCATCTATTAATAAAACATAATAATGTTTTTGTAGCTACACCTAGGTATAGAATAAAAACTAATAGATTATCACCATTATTAAAAGTATGAAGACCGATCGCAAAGGTTTTTCGAAGAAGTAGGAAGACGAAGAAATAAAGACGTACATAGCTTTTCAGAACGCGTTTGTGTTTAGATAGTTTGCTTTGGTAAATAAGGGTATAAAACAGTAAGTCCTGCACCTAAAGTAAAATTCAATAATGTTTTTGTAGCTACACCAAGGTGTGAGTAAAAAGTAATATGTTATCACTATTATAAAAAGTGTAACAACCGACCGAAAATGTTTTTCAAAACAATAGGAAGACAAAGAAATAAAGAAGCTTATAGATTTTCATAACACACTTGGGATTGAATACAGTTTACCTCAGCAAAACACCCGATAAAATGCTTGCACATATGGAAAAACACGATAAGTGTCGGTAGCTACAACTAGGCATGGACAAAAACTAATAGATTATAACTATAAATTAAATGGTTTGCAAGACCGAAAGCAAAGGTTTAAACAGTAGAAAAGTAAAGCAATAAAGATGTATAATATAGCTTTAGATAAACTTTATCCTGGTAAAGAAGCTCATAAAATGCTTTCGCAAATGGTACAACATAAGGGCATGGATATAGACTCACAGAAGATCACTATTATTTAAAGTGTAACGACCAGCCTCGCAGGTTTTTCAAAACAGGAAGACAAAGAAATAAAGATGTATTGTAGCTCTTCAGAACACAATGGGCTTGGATACAGTTAACCTGAGCAAAACAACTTATAAAGTGCTTGCATCTATGGTAAAACAATAATGTGTTAGTAGCTACAACTAAGCGTGAACAAAAACTAATAGATTATCACTATTATTAAAAGTGAAACGACCGACCGCCAGGAAAGTAATCTATTATATATTTGGCAACTTGGAAACACATGTGTCACCTTTCCTATAAAACTACGACAGCTACAGAGTTGAAAGTTGGCAAGTACCTGCAAAAAGATAGGTAGGTCCTTATGACGGAGCCCGATCTTTGAATTATTCATTTCTAGAATTTAGAAAAATATATTTGATGAAAAGTTACCGTCCTTCTTTGGCCTTTGTGATTTAGTCAACTGAGAAACGAAACAAATCTGTTCATTCCTGCTCGTTAACGTTCGCCTAAGAAACACGATTCAGGAGACAGGGGTGAGTAATTTTCGAGACTCACCAACGTGAAAACATGATCATGTGGTCGGCACCCAAAGAGTTGTTTTTAATATAGGGCCCAAAGAGAAAAACTGTTTTATTATTGACTCAGAATTTTTTGAAAAAGTATTTTTGTTTGGTCCCAAGCCTGCAAAAGGGCCATGCAATGTTTCGTGGGCACAGGTGAATTAGTCAATGAGCTAGAATTTTATTTTAACTGTCAGAGGAAAATGAACAGGCGAAATACACTGTCTCTGTGGTTTTGAAGACGTCGGTGTGTTCCTTTTACAGTGTAGCGGTATTTCTAAAATCATTTCTTCTACCTCCCCCGTCCACAACGCCCCCACCCCCTTTCTCTGTCTGTCTGTCTATCTGTCTGTCTGTCTGTCTGTCTGTCTGTCTGTCTGTCTGTCTGTCTGTCTGTCTGTCTGTCTGTCTCTCTCTCTCTCTCTCTCTCTCTCTCTCTCTCTCTCTCTCTCTCTCTCCACACACACACACACACACACACACACACACACTTCTTCTCCCTGTCCCCCCTGCTATATCTTAAGAACTAAGGGGTTGTCGACTGCTGGTCCTAAACCGCCTTTTCAACTTAATTTTACATATTTTTGTGCCTTTTATTAAGAGAGAGAGAGAGAGAGAGAGAGAGAGAGAGAGAGAGAGAGAGAGAGAGAGAGAGAGAGAGAGAGAGAGAGAGAGAGAGAGAGAGAGAGACAGAGACAGAGAAAGAGAGAGAGAGAGAGAGAGAGAGAGAGAGAGAGGGAGAGAGAGAGAGTGAGAGAGAGAAAGAGATAAAGAGAGAGAAAAAGAAAGAGAGTGAAAGAGATAGAAAGAGAGTGAGAGAGTGAGAGTGAGAGTGAGAGAGAGAGATACTCATTGTACATACCAGTACATTAGGAAATAAAAAGTCTTACCATGCACACGCAAACGGACACGCACACGGACGCACACACACACACACACACACATATAGACACACACACAAACACACACACACACACACACACACACACACACACGCACACGTACACGCAGACACACACATACACACATACTCTCTCTTAACCCCCCCCCACTCTCTCTCTCCCCCCTCTCTCTCTCTCTCTCTCTCTCTCTCTCTCTCTCTCTCTCTCTCTCTCTCCCTCCCTTTCGTGTTCAAATACAATCCAGTTATTTTCAATAATATGCAAACTTTACACCTTTTCACCCCACGCCAGTACCACAGTCCCGTTCTTTTCACATTCACTTCACATTCATCCGAATAATGTTTCACAGTGTTTGACTAAGACTCGTTTTACACAGTCCGTTCTGCCAACTACTTCGCCCCTCGGTTATTCAGACTTCAAGGACCCCAGTAAGGTCAGTGCGAATTCTCCTTCCTTTCTTTGGTTTCCTTACTATTAGATCTAGATAAAATTTAATTTGAATTTCATTTTATGAATATTTTCTTAACTTTACCCATAAAAGTAAATTATTCATTTCCCCCTTCCTAACTGAGCCTAGAAATTAAAAACAACAGTTTTTAAACCACGCAAAATAAAACAATAACAACTTTTGTAATAAAGTCTCATTTTATGTGCTCCTTGCTCTATACTTTAAAAATAATTTTTTGATCCGACTGCAATTGTTCAATCACATCCCTCCCGAAAAACAACAACTAAAACAACAGCAACAACAACAACAACAACAACAACAACAACAACAACACAAAACAAACAAACATAAATTTCACACTTCTCTCTCCATCCCTCTCTTTTGTCTGTTTGACTTTCTTCACTTTCTCTCACTGTTTTCTCCCCTCTTTCTCCCTTATCTATCTATCTATCTATCTATCTATCTATCTATCTATCTATCTATCTATCTATCCATTCAGGGTTCGCCAATCATTGCCCAAAGATGTGGACTTCGACTACGCTCGCCGTCCTATGTGGCTGCACTTTCCTGCTCACAGGACCTGGTTTTGCCAACGGTCAACTGGTCACCTCATTCTCTGGAACCTACCAGGGTTCCACTCTTACTGGAGACAACGGTCAGCCATACAACGCTTTTCGGGGAATCCCTTATGCGGAACCGCCCACTGGCGACTTGAGGTTCAAGAAAACTGTGCCCATAGCACCCTTTTTTGGTGAGGATATTTCCACGTTTTATTTGCTGTAGTAAATGTTTTAGGGCACTTGAAACACATTAAGTCATGAAAGGGCAAAAGATTAGAGTTGTTACGGGGGCTCTGGTGGCCTAGAGACTAAGGTGTTCGCTTCTCATTCAAAGGTCCCGGGTTCGAATTCGAATAGCGACGGAAAAATTTTCTTCTCTAAAATTGCCTCCTTTCACCTCTTTTCCTGCTCTCTAGCAATGCTTTGTGGTGTGCTTTCGTCTCCACTTTCTGCCCCCACCCCCTCACCCCCCCTGGGCTTCTGACTCTTTCTGCAGCCTTTCTACTGCTACTCCTTGGTTCCTTCTTACTGCTGTCTTTCAGCCCCACCCCTGATCTTCGGGTAGGAAAGATCTACACCTATTCTTCTCGGACAAGGGCGCACAATCTCGGAGGTCCCGTGTGCAAGTTGCTCATGTTAAAGATCCCTTAGAGGTCTAAAATCGATAAGAGTAGGCTTCGGCCGCCAAAATTCAAAATTTTGTACCAACTGAAAATATTTAATGTGTCCCGCTCGCTCATATAACATAATGCAATTGCGAAGGCCGCAAAACACAACAAACAAATAATTAAAAGCTGTTACAAGTGAGTAACAAACACAAAAAAGGAGAGATAAGGACAGTTTCATAACATATGTTAGAGAGGAAATATAATTTTTTTTTCATTTACCCCACACAGGTGTATATAAAGCGCTTTAATATTTCGGCATACAAAAGATCACGTTGTTTTATTCATTTATTATTATTATTATTATTATTATTATTATTATTATTATTATTATTATTATTATTATTATTATCTGTCTTGTTTTTTATCAGCGTTTAAGAATGTTATATTAAAATTATTAATTACTATTACTATTATTCTATCTTATTTTTTAAAGTTTATATTTTACAGGTAGCATGCCGGGTTGAACTGGGGAGGGTTGTACTGTTAGGAAGTATAATAGGGGGGCTCCCCCCCCTCCCCCTGGGTAAAGTGGTTTCATTGTATTGCGATGACTCCACTCGCCCCGGGACGGTGAGTCGTCAAACAGGTCAACCCACAAGCCGTGGTAGCCTACTTATTATTTTCGATTAGCAATCCGGTTGAAAACAATCCATGAGATAAAAGTATACTAAATAGGGAATGTCCAACAAAAATCAACGTAGTTGAACACATATTAAGAAAGGACTAAACTTACAGATGCAAACACACAAACACAACCCCCATAAAGCAAAATATGTATCTTTATCCCTTCTACCAACTCGTCTGGGCCCAGTTGTTTAGGTACTAATAGTGACAAAGTCACCACTATGGCATGAGACTTCGTGCATACTTTCGGAACCTTCGGTTCTTAAGTGAGTTCAGATGACTCGGCAAAGGAGCGGGACAGAGGGTGCCAACATCATGACTCGAAAGAGCTGAGGAATCTAGGACTAACATGATCTAAATAATTAACTACTACCCAGTGGTTCTAACCATCTCCAGTTGGGGCTATGGCAAAACTTGGATGTGTAACTTACCAATGAACGTCATAAGAGTGAAGAAACATATTTATTTATTTATTTATTTATTTATT